AATGGCCCCCCATCACATGGTCCGCCGGCTTGCTCGCGTCTGCGCACACAGCGCAGTGCGGTGACGCGGTGCACTGGGCGGACTACCGCAGCTATCAGCCGGTCCGCGGTCGTCGTGTCGTTGAGACCCGTGACCCTCAGGTCTGTGAATTTCACAGGCCTCGACACCTCCACCTCCTCCGCTAGTGCGGACTTCAGCTTCTCGGCCAAAGCATCGGCTTTGTCCGCACTGGTGGAGCCGGGCACCTCGATGATGCGAGCCCCTGTTGCCGATGAACGGATCTTCAGGGGCCCTATGCCCAGCTCCTTGGTATTAATCTCCCTCTCAGCCTTCAGGAGAACTGACAAGTACGATGCCCCCTTGGCCGCTGCATCAGGCCGTAACTTGATAATTACGGCCTGTGAGCGCGGGAGCATCACTTTTTTGGGGCCCTCTTTAGGGCCCACCTTCTTTTGCTGCGGCGCCGATTTATTGGGCACTGGCGCCACCTTCTTCTTCTTGGGGGCCTTGCGGCTGACTACCTCCGTCCATCCCGTCGTATTGGCCCCAACCCCCGTTACAGTTGGTTCGGCCCTTCCACTGGATGTGGATGGACCGAACGCGGTCCATACTACCTCCTTTCCTCCCTTGGACTTCTTACCTTTCCCGTGGGAAGGCGCAGGGAGGGAAGGGAATTCGGCCTCCGATATAGCCGGTGCCGGAGTTTCCGAAGCCGGCAAAGGGGCCGGTTTCTTGGCCCCCCTTTGCAGGGCCGCTTGGCGAATCGCCCTCCTGGCTGCCACGGCGACGGCCGAATTGTCCCCCGCCAGGGGGGGGCGGGAGACTTCTTCTCCTCGTAGCCGGGACTCCATCGCGGCAAGTCGACCATCGACCAGGTTGCCAACCAACCTGGCAATGTTCGACTCCAGCGTTTGGAGTTGGTCCTGGCTGACTGGGCCCTCCGAAGCCTCCTTGGCTGCCGCAACCCTCTCTTTTCTCATCTCCTCAAATTGGAGGCGATGAGCGCGCACCTCCTCCTTGAGACTCGCATTTTCCCTTTGGAGCCGACCGATGTCGGCTCTAAGGCGGTGGGTCTCCTCTGCCTCGGTGCGCGTCACCAGGACGTCGAGCACCTCCTTCAAGAAGGCGGAGGCCTTCATAATTTTGGAAGAGTACCCCCCTTTAAGGTTGGTACTCTTCCCCACCAAATCCTTAATCAGGTTGAGGCTTTTCTCCGCCTCAACCACGATTGCCTCCGCCCTCATCGTCTCCAGTTCCGGAGGGACCTCCTTTTCCTTTCCTTTCCCTTTCCCCTTTTCTTTCGCCAACTTCTTCTCCATACAGGAGTCGAAGGCAGCCTCCGAATCCTCCTCCTCCCGCTGGCGCAAGAACTTCCTGGCTCTAGCCAGGTGTCTACCTCGGCCTCGCCTCCCTACCAGCTCCAACCCTCGAGACATCCCGACCCCAGTCTCGGTATCGGAGCCAGACATCTCCGAAAAGAGACGTTTGGCCCCTAACGCCGACTCCGGACGAGACGACATCGAGTCGTCCACACCCGAAAACCCCTCTAAGAAATTGCCCGTTTCCCCCCCCGGGGCAGGCCCCCCCCCATCATATTCCCTATCTCCCATTCCCTATCTCCCAACCAGAACACAAAACCAGCTTAGGTTAGGTTAGGTTAGGTTAGGTTAGGTTAACTTATGTTAGCTTAGGTTAGGTTAGTGAATTAATATAATAATTTAGCAAGCGGCTCTCGTTACGGCATACCCAAATTACTATATCACACCAAGACGTCCGATCCCTACGGCGGCTCGAACGCGACTCCCATGTATGCTCATTACCTTCGGTAGTGTAGCATCAGCACTTTCTTTCAATGGGTGCGATTTATGTACTTTACAGTTAACTTAACAATATATGATGATGATAAACTTACCAATTTATTCATATACGGATGAGAGGTCACACTATACTACTGATTTTGATGTACAAATAAAAACTTAACGACACAAAACACTTTATTTTTCTATATTGTTACAGGTAAGTGAGGAATTTAAGCAAAACTGATAATTTTTGCGCCATTTATCAATACCGTTTCAACAAAAAAGAAAGATAACAACATTTCTCCAATGCTCATCATCTAAGGTATGAATATTTAGTATTTATGGAGGGAAATAAACGCACACAAGTATAACAACTTTCCTATTTCATTAATTAAGACCGATTGTAACTAGGTTAGGTGTCTGGAGATTTATTTTCCCTCAAATATTTCGTGTACTCCAAGACAACGACAGCTGGGATGTCGATTTTTTTACCATGTTTAAAATTATTAAGTGCATGCATTTAATTTTCATGTTATTTTTATTTTTCCTGATTGCTATTACTTCATTCATCCTAAGGTAAAGTTTTATTAATTGCTGTTTATTTATAAATTACAAACAAAACTTAGATTGTACTTAGGTCCTATTTGTTAGCTTAAAATATGTTGCAATGTTTTTAAAATCATATTCAATACACATATCAAGAACAAAATGTTTAATTTCTTGGCATATTTTCTGCCATAAATTCAGTTTATATGTCAATTGGTGCATCGTGTAAAATCAATGTAATTTATTATAGCGTAAAGTATGTGATAGAACTAATGTAATGTTATTATTTATTTAAGTTAAACGTCTTATTCCATAAATTAATAACATATTTTCAGATATAAAACAGATCTATGGTAGCTTTGCTATAACTCCTAAAAAGAAAAATATATCCTCACTGTTAATCATTGGCTTTATGGATGGTAAAGCATAGTGTAGCGTTTTTGTATGTAGCAGAGTATATAAATTGCTTCTGTGTCAATTGGGTTGAAAAAAATCATTATTTCATCGTACAAGGTAGGCAAACAACCAACTCTTTAAATCAATAACGATCAAATAATTAAATAATAATTTGTAAAAAAATGCTAACAGAAAATAAAAAATCGCTACAGTATAAAAGAATCGTTCCTTAAAAAAAGAATACAATAATAGATAGATTACTTCAACAACTATTATTAATGGAAGTTTAAGCGACAAGGGTAAAGATGAGTTTGAAAAGTAGTTTAAAAAAGAAACTATTGAATCGGGTTTCTGCGAACTTAAGATGAGTAGTTTTGAACTGCTAATAACACAAAAGTAATGTACCTTTTTATTATTGTGCAAGAAATAACGTCATCTAGAATGTCAAATGGAAAAGAATGTGAATTAAAAAATATTTTAATTTATATCTTTTGCTTTGCGAACTTTTCTTTGATGCAAATGGTTTTACTTAGAATTCTTTAATCTTAATTCCGATTCATTTTTCTCGAAACAAAAGATGCTTACACTTTTATCACATAAAAGTTCTGACTTTATAAAGCGCAAAGAAAAAAGTATTTTTTTCTTTAACTGTATTATATTTTAAATAATAGCATTAAAATTAATGTTTTTTATAATAATAAAATCAAATATACGTACAAAATTAAAAAGGGATACATAATGAAAAATAATTTTCTTATAATGAGTTCTGAGACTGATGAGTATTGATTTAAATGAAATATTTTCGGATTACTAAGCGTATTTAAGGTTGTAAGGTGGTGGTGGCCTAAAGGTTAAAGGTCCGCCTATCGTGCATGAGAGCGCGGGTTCGAAACCTGGCAAGTAAAAGAGGCCTTTGCTGAGCAGTAGGCTCTGAAAGGCTGCTGATGACTAAGCGTATTTTTTATTGTTAAAAACAACATAATCCCGAGGTTTTAGTTGCTTTGCAGCAATCTTAATCTCATTTGCATATTATTACTCTTAAATTTAAAAGTCATTTGAAAACCATGATGAAGCATGATCCACAGGTATCCACTATATTCAGGTTTGTTGTTATCAATTTCATAATCGTAATCTATTCCTTTCTAAAAAAATCATAATCGAAACATATACAGAATAACAAATACAAAAAAAAAATAAAATTAAAAAATTTGTATGCATGCATGTGTACCTTAATTAATTAATAAATTAATTCTTATGTAACAGTCATAATAAAAAAATAAGAAAGTCAACATGTAATATTAATAGTATTTAAATAAGTTAAATTTATTGAAGATATTTTCGAGCCTTTTAATATGGATGTTTCGATATAACTCTACATGTAAAGACTTTTACAAAAAAATAATTATTAAGTCTTTGAAAGCCAGTAGTAACCTAGAGAAAAATAATATTGAAAAAATCAGGAATATTCCTTTGTAGTGAAAGAAAAATTAATAAATTGTTATGAAAATTAATACTAAATTATTCATATCTTTTAACGTACTTTAACTTTTGGATTTTGCTGTTACGGTGCTCTTGAAATACTTGTAAATTCATACATTTTATATAAACATAACAAGCTATACTTATTTTAAGATTACGATTACACTTACAACTAAACGAATAATTTAGTAAGGTTTTGTCTAAAAACTACACGGATAGAAAAATTTATATGAAATCTGAAATTGAATTACTTCTTCAAATCTCACAAGTTATAAATTGTTGTCTGTCTGAGTCTGAACTTTGTCAGAAATCAATTTTCTAGTGTGAACTGAAATGTCATCTATCACCAGCTTTCTATACTATGACATATTTTCAGAGTTAGCAAAGATTCAATCCGATCGGAGGAAAGAATAGGTTTGAAATATTCGTAAAAACGTCAATATTGAAAATATGAAATTGTTTTTCAAAGATTTCATAAAGAAATACAGGGTAAGTTTGAGTCACACGTGTATTACACACGTAACATATTACAGATATTTGTAATATGGAAACATTATCTATATTTGAAAAAAATTGCATGATGGCTACATACATATGTATATACAACGTAAGTAAATATTAATACATTGATATACCATCCACAAATATTTCTGATTTCATTCAGACACAAGAAAAAGTTAGGTGAAGGGTTCTGTAACATTGAATTAAATGTAAAATTTTGTTGAATACTAAATAAAAACTTAAGGTTAATTCTAAATCATAGAGTTGTTTTGCACGTACCGATCGATCACTAAGGTTTTTGACTCGGCAGTGCAAGTATGCTGGCTGGCCGACGGCTGCAGTATATTCTCTTTTCGTCGCATTATCAAACTGTGGCTGTACCATGGTGTCCGTGGCAGCGGTGCCGTTGTTAACCGCGAAGATGGCATCGGGGTCAGTAGTGTCGCTGCCCCCCGCCGACAGTTCTGTGAACCGAGGATGACAAGAATATTTTTATAATAAAATAACTAATTACACAACGCTAATAAAATTATGGTAAATAAAGCTATGCTATACGATATGTAGTAGTATTGCCAACTATTTTTATATTACGTAATATTTCATTAATAGCAATGATGTTAAGATTTAAATACTAAAATTAAATAAATTATATGTGTAATCCAATAAACATTTTACTGTACATAATTCTAAACATGCAAATATTACAAAAATGTATTATAAAAAACATCTTATATATTTCGGTAAAATTGCGGCCTTGGAAAAGAGGTAAGCAACAATAGATTTTCATCACGCCTGCTATCCGCTACACAGAAAAGAAGCTTCTTTATACTGGTTTTCGTTTGTAGACTCAGAATTTAGCTTTGTTGTGAAATCGGGTTAAAGACGTATCGTACTTATATGAAGTAGCGATCAGTGTTTTTCAAATGTATTAAAGTAATAGCATTTCTAGGATTTAAATTCTATTACTCCAATAGATACGTTTTGGGGATTTTATTTGAAGAAAAAATCAAACAGGCGTTTTAGACATAAAAAATTCTCACTACCTGTGTATTTAATGTAATGTGTTTTATAAAATAATTCTATGAAGTTAACGAAAATGTACATCATGTATATAAATATTATTTTTATTCAATAATATCAAATTTATTATCTATAATTTTTTCAATTTTTGATTTCAAGAAACAGACCACAATTTTAGTGGTCTATCGGTTATTTTGTTAGTAATTTACTGTTGTTATAAAATTGTTTTAAGCTTCTGGGATTAATTTCTTATCTTTTCGTATATTTTTCTTTGTACTGTATTTCAATAATTTTATTATATATTAATTGTACTTAGTTGTAATAAAAAAGTGATCATTGTTTAAAGCAGTTTCCTTGTTTAATTAAATAATATTATAGCCAACATAACAAATAAACAAACAAAGAAAATGCTGTTGTAAATATTAAATTTATTGAGTGGCCTTTTATCAAATATTATTAAAGACGTACTTGTGAAACAAAACAAAAAGCTGTGAAATCATTAACATGTATAAATATGTATATTATTTGATATAAAGATAGCACAATATGTCTTGTTAAATCTTTACAAATATCGGCCCTGTAAATAAACTTAAGAAAACCGCTACTTAACCAATACAGTCTCGGCACTGATATTTGTATCATGCAGAGTCCACTATTTACTCATGTACCTACACATACTTTCGTATTTAAAGGATCGACATGTCAAACATTGAAAAGGCAATTGGTTTAACTGGAATAAAGGAAATTCTCGTATCAAAAGGCCTTACGAATTCCCGTCATTGACCTGTCCAAATATGATTTCGATTGCCCAAGGGTGAACTTGCCAATTTAGACATCACGTCGTACGTCATCTTGACGTCTGCCAAAAACAGTAACTTTCTCACGTAAGAAATTGAAGAATTATGAAAGAATCCAATTTAATGGAGGATAAATTTCTCACAGGATTCATGCCTTGGGTCTTTCAATTTCTGTAATGTTTAATAAACTAATTCAATTATTAGAAGGAGGGTATAATATTTATGTAGGTATAAATGTGCATAGTATTAATTTAGTACTTTGACAATATATATTTGTTTTTAAATTTAAAGATTAATTATTTAATATTTTTTAAAACAATAATCTAAGTATATAATTAAAGGATTATATTTTACAGATTCAATATATATTACAATTTAATACGTTAATAACTAAGCCAGCTTGACAATATAAGTTTATAATTCAATATCACCAAATCCAAAATCGAATTCAAAGTTAATGGACTTTAAATATTTTTATAAGAATGGTCACCGAAAATTTGTTTATGATAGCAACATAATCTTTAAAAGGCTTTTGTTAATATATTTAAATAGGCTTAAACCAAATTTATATATACAAAAAAAAATGTGTTTCATCTATTCACTAATTTGTTTCTTTCGTAAGGTCAAGAGAAATACGAAAAAATATTGGATATAATCGCGAAATGTAGAAAGTCTTGCTTAACAAGACGAATACTTAAATTTTATGATCGTTATACGTCACAGCTTGTATCGGAAATATTATTAATATTGATCAAATACTTAAAGCAGATTACATTCGAATAATATACACAAATCAAAAGTATTACGATGATATTGAGATCAGATGACAAAAGAGCTTTGTCAGCACTCACTTTCGTTTTCCGTTCCATTATTCGCTTGCTTGGATATTTACTGCCTAATAAAAGGCATCCATAATACACTTTTTGTCGAAAATCAGGTTTGTCGTAAAAGTTTATCGATTGTTATGAATAATGAGTTCGAATACTATACATAGATGAAAATGATACAATTTAATTTATAAAACAACCTTGTACTATAACCCAAAAACTTTAATCAAATAACAAAAAAAAGCATATAAAAGAATAAGACAACGAAATAGTTGTGAAATTTTAAAGTTTTCTTTTATATGACCTAAAGGGGACAGCAAAGAGGACACACGGGCAGAAGGTCTACCTGATGGAAATATAATCAAAAGTATGCATGTTGAAATATGTTTGAAATCTTTCCATTTATTAATAAAAATATTAAGTATTTTCAATTATTGAGTTTATTAAATGCAGTAAAAATAAATAGTGTAAACTTGGGACGCTATAAGTAATTTAACAATTTACTTCTCTTTTTACAAAGACAAAGATAAAGACGAGATGAAACCTCTTAGCATTCAATGGATTGACCGTGCGGGTGACGGGACCATCGCATTGTAGGGAGAGGAGCTTAAACAGTGCCTGGTACTTGCGACCCAAGTGAAGGTTTAAGGGGCCCCTGTTTAATGCGCGTTAAACGTTCATCTCCAACGTCCAAGCTCAGGGAGAGCCCTGCCCTACTATATTTGACAAAACCTACTAGGGCTGCCTTCGAAGTACGTTCCTAGAAAGAACTCATATAAGTTCTTTACAGACAGACCCAAGTCTTTTAGTAGGTTGTAGAGAGATTTAGCCGTCATAACTCTTGCTCCGACTTCTACCGAACCGTAAGCACGTTTATCACAACGCGCTTTAAAATTCACGAATATATAAATAATTGAACTGTTAAATAGTTTTTACTTTTCACAGTTTCCCCCATTAAAAAAGTTAGAAAAAAGGTAAATTAATGTTTATGACCACCAGGATACCCAAATTAGAAGCCCTACTAAAATCAGAAAAAAAACTCAAGGTGATGACACTGTCACCTCAGTATGCTTAATTGTTTCACTGGATAAAATGATTATTAAGTTTTGAAAGAGGACCTCAGTGTTGGATTTCTGTTAAATAATCTAGCTATTTAAGTGGACTACTATATTGTTGGCATTTATCCAATAACTTATCTGAATTATAAGACTATTTGCTACTTGGAAAATATTGAAAGTAAATATATATATATATATATATATATATATATATATATATATATAAATATATATATATATCCCTTCTGAGAACATCTATATTTACATTAAATGTGAAAATGGAAATGAGAAAAAACGTAATGTTCACTTCATTTCCGAAACATTATGAATTCAAAAATAATGACGTGTTTCATTAACTAACATTAATACTGAAATTATATTTAGTAGATAAAGATGTTTAGTAAAGATAAAAGTAGAATCATGAATTGAAGAAAGAGGAAAAGCCGGGAAAAAGAATAATTACGTCATAAATTAGGTATATTTACAATTTCACCATTTAAAATTATTAACAACTTTAAAGTAATAAGGGCGTGGGAGGGATTTTCAAGATATAAAGGTTTCCTGACTTAATCAGTACCTACAAATCATCAAGCCAAATATTAGCTTAAAAAAATAAAGAATGACTGAAACCAATATTACTAAATATATGAAACTAATAACTGCATACATTTTTCACAATATTGTTTAAAAATAGCAATAGAAATATTTATTTTACTAAAAAAATATTCTGCTCAGTAAGAACTAAATAATTATATTAATTTTTTTTAACAGTTGCTAAAATAAAATAATTGAAATCTGCTAAAGTCAATAATGTCGTCAAAAAATATTAAGAAGAAAAGAACTAAAAAAGAAGTAAGATAGACAGAAAAGTTGTCTTTGTTGTCCCAATGACCTGATTCTTTTGAAAGCTACGAGTCAGATGACACTGTCAGAAACATTGATTTTGAAATCAGAGTTAAAGAAAAATTATGATTATTAAGATAATTTTGTTTTAATTATAATTTGTCAAATATTTTTGTCAGTAACAAAACTTTTATGAATTAAATTTGAATGAGGTTGGCGGATGGATGACTATAAAAATCTACTAGCCAACGTCCTCCAACTGCAGTGCCAACCAACTCGCAGCTAAGCATTTTGTGTTCTATTATCGACATTGTTGTTAGGTGAAAAGAGATGATGGGAAATACGGTTTGGATGTATTTGACAAAATTAAATACGGCAATTATTTTCAATTATACCAGGTTCAAGAATCATTTTCGACCATGCATTGTGATTACACTGCCATGAATGTAGCGTCACCATCAAATATTAACTATGTTGGTATGATCGAAAATCCCAATCAGTGTTAATCACAAAGGCTTTTTAAAATATTAGGAATTCTATTGCAACTTACTTAAAATTTTATGACAGTTCACATAATTATACAAATATATATATATATATATATATATATATATATATATATGTAAATGTAAAATAATTAAAAACTTAAATACGGGCTAATAGACATTAATAATGTTTATTATAGACAAATAATAGTTTTGAACATATTGATTATTATTATTGCCATAATATTTCTCAGAACTTAGAAGATAATAATTGAAAAACAGAAAGGCTGTATGGAAATAGATAAATTAAAGACAAAAAAATATGATGATCAAAATAATACATAATATTTTGTTTTGATTAGCTGCAGTTGCACAAAATAAATGTGTTTTATCAAATAACACTGAAAATTTCAAATTTCAGTGATTATCATATTTCAAATATTGAAATTTACTACAAATAAGATAATTTTACTACAATAACAAGTAATATTTATATACTAAACAGGCAAGATAAGTGAAACGACAAGGTATTAGTGTCCAAATGGAAGATTGGAATCGAATATTCTTATAATTATTTCCACTATACTAGTCTCAGGATTTGAATGTAACTTTTCATAAGATAAAATCTGACAAAGAGGGATTTGGAGACACTGACATCACTGATCCTAACACTTTATGTACGAGAAATCTAAGGCAAAAATCGTTCCTCTAGTCACTAGAGTCTAGTGTGAGCACAATTGAAAACGCAAAAAGTATTTGACAGATTTAGTGTCTCGTTTTTTAACATGTAGGGTGAATGTGTTATGAGAATGGTCTTAAGCGAATGTGACTGTATTGAATTTGCAGGCAACAAAAGCAATAAAGGTTGTTATATGAAAACTTATATTCCAGGACTATTTGACCAGATTTAGTGGAAATACTAGACAGTAAAAGTCCGCATTAAAATCCAGTTGCATAGTAAAAAATCGAGAACAGAGCGAAGCTAATCTACATATTAATTAAGAGTATTTAGAACAAGCATTATCTTTATTATCATACAAAGAAAGAGAAGATAAACTCTCTTACAAATTTTGATTTGTTGGTCATATTCAAAATGTTTGTATTGATTTGAAAACTATTACTACTACTATTGATTTGATTTGTCTGTCCCAAATTTTCCGTAATGGTACTAAAATTGTGAATTATTTTCATATAGTACTAATAATAAGACAAAAATAACAATTAAAAATCTCTAAATAAAATACAAAATGTTACTTTATCGTATTTGCAAGATGGAATCGTAGCCTAACGTGTCAGTAAAACAAAAAAATACTTTTGTTTGAGTAAAGTGCTTTTATGTAACTTTTACAAAACTATTTTCCTGTGTTATGATTGGCATGGCATGTCAACGTATGCGACCTTTTTGTTAGTGTTTGTTTAACAGTTTCGAGGGTTTTTAAATATCTAATTCAAAGCCTTTTTGTGCGTTATAAATCATCATTATAATTTACAATGGCATTACACATTTTCTGTATGAAAATATTTAAATACATACCAAAAACGGTAGGATGAACACTGAATTGTTAATATATATTTTTTGTTATTAAATTTGATTAATATAAAAATATTAATTTTGTTGTTGAAAAAAAAGGGCTTTAAAAAAAATAATGTTATTCTCTTTTTGTATCTTATACTGTTTACTATTCTGGGGATTTAATTTTTCTTTTGAAAAATTAAAATCGATAAATTAAAAAAAATGCTGAAGAACAGCAAAATGTATTAGATTAGATTTAGGTTGCAACATTAGATTTTATTATATCATACGTAAGGACATCTAAATCTTACCTTAATTAATGATATGC